TTTACTGAAATTAAATTTCAAAATTTAGGCGTTTTTAACGTATTGTTCGCTCGTAAACTATAAATGTCAGATGGATAATCAAGTGTACACATACTATAATATATAAATGTAATTAATTTCTTATAGTTATGGAACTGTTAGTTATACTGTAAAGACACTATTAAAATTGATTGATTGATCTTTAATGCAATTCTTCCTAATTATCTGCAATTCAAAAAAGCTACGCGCACATATTTCAGGCTTTCGCAAAATGATGATGGATCGATCCGCGAATTATCGCTAATCTAAACAAATTGTTTTATAATTTTCTTAGGGAAATTGGCAATTCCGTTCCGCTGCAATTCCGAACTGCAGATTATTAAGACTCTCCGCTCCACATCCACGTAGTTATCCCATTCAGAATCGTCCTACTCCATCCATGCAAATTAACCACTAAAACCGTAGCCTCGCGAAATTTCCTCTTCCTTAATGGCAAATTCAATTACCTACGCTGCATTTTTTTTTAATGCCGTTTCTATTTTTCTACTGCAAAGTGTCATGGGAAAAATATCGAAGAGAAATAGAGTATGGAAGAGAGCGTTTAACCGATGCGAATATAAATAGATGTGCGCAAACAGCATCGGATATGATTACGCTCACAATTCGAAGGAGAGGAACGTAAAAAGCGGGACTTCTGGAAATTACAGCGTGCGCTCTTTATTTATTGTCTTTTTTTGTGTGTATATTCTTCACTCCCGTTGCGGTTTTACTTCCTGCAATGCAGCCCGGTGCAACGACACTCATTCCCACATAATCAAAACGGAAACGCATTGCAATCATCTCGCGTTTATTACGAACTTTATCTATAAACAACTCAACTTTTTGATTTTAAACTTATTAAACACGTCTTGTCACCTCTATCCATTCGGAGCGAAAGCATCTTTCTATTCTCGTTAGAAATTATGTCACCATTGTTTGAAATTTCTTTCGATCTGCCATTGTTATGATCTCCATTGTTGTTCATGAAAACTTTTAATCTTCGATCAGAGAACATCAATAGAGAATTATTTCATTTTATTGTTTGCAAATAGCTGCGTTTTAGCAAAATGCAATATCCATTTGCTTGTTATGTCTGGAGCAGAGGTTCCCAAACTTTTTGTGTCGTAGACCCCTTGCCATGTTTTTCGGTTTATGGTAGACCCCCTAGATCTTTATAATTATTAAGATCTTTGCTCTGAGACTGTGCGTATGCTTGTAACAAGATGATACTGGTATATCATTATGTGCAGGTTTTTACAAGTTCAAAATGTATTGCGACCACAAAGCGAAAAGCGAAAGCCTACATCCTACAACTTTGGCGTCAATTTTGTAAGGTTTAATCTTAAATCTCCTCGGCTAATGATGTCTCCTACATCCTACAACTTACACAATTTTATAAACACATATAATATTAATTGAATTTAAGTTCAAAATGTATTGCGACCACAAAACGAATGCCTACATCCTACAACTTACACAATTTTATAAACATATATAATATTTTTTTTACTTTATAGATATTTTTATAAATAATGTATATGTCTTTATACTATCAGTATAATGTAAGTAAATAGGTACTATCAGTGTATGTTGAGATCGGGTCTATATCGAAAGTCTATTGAAATCCCGACTATATCAAAATCCCGACTGAACTTTGCATAATAGGTAATAGATCCTATTACCTATTATCGAAAGATCGACGTTCGAAATCCCGAGTATATCGAAATCCCGACAGTGCGTTTTATTATTATAATTTATACAATAACATTTTTAAATTAATTCGAAACGCAGTCACCATTTACTATTATTTAATATTAATAACAATAAATTAATAATTTAATTACATTTCAGATTATTTCAAATTGTCAAAGTTTATTTTCGACAGATCATCCATCTACTATTATTCAATATTATTAACAATAAATTAAATAAATTTAATTTAGAATATTTCTGAATTTTAAGTTTTATTAAGTCAATGAAAACAAATACAATAATCTCAACTCCCCCCCGTTATATTCTAGAAATAAAAAAAACTCGAGCGATGAATTTTTAAAATTATCTTTATTATAATACAAAAGTGAATAAAATAATTATAATGAAACACTATGAGCTATTTCGCGAAGATAACTCATTAATGTTCTGTTTTGGCGGTCATATATAATAAAAGACACTGTCGGGATTTAGATACTGTCGGAATTTCTATACAGTCGGGATTTCGATACAGTCTGCAATTTCGATACAGTCGGGATTTCGATATAGTCTGGATTTCGAATGTCGGGATTTTGATTGTCGGGATTTCGATTGTCACCGGTTGAGATCCACTATCGTGGACTCCCATTATCATTTCATGGACCCCCAAATTTTTTTTTCGCTGACGTAGACCCCTTGCAGGTTGTCATAGACCCCTGGGGGTCGATATAGACCACTTTGGGAATCACTGGTCTGGAGCGACTCTCGCAACAAACTCGTAAAACTTGATACGGGCAAAAACAAAACGAAAATAAATTTTATTAAAAATAATTATATCTTTATTAGTAAATACAATATAATAAAAAAAGAGCAAACAGTATATACAAATTATAAAAAAATATAAAAATAAAAAAGTTAAAATCCGTTGTGAGTTCTTCCTCGGCGTATTTCATTTTGCACTCGTAGACAACGAATTCCAACACACATTTAACACGTCACCTCTATGTACACTAATCATATCGTTCTTTCATTTGTGTCTTGTAGCTTAGTTCTTATTGAAACACCACTGCACTGGCAAAACCTTCTCCACGTTCTGAAGGTAATCCATCTCGAGGCATTCCATTGCACTCTTCCTCATAAGCGGCTTCAAAACTATGATGCTCTCTAGAAACTTTAGTTGTTCCTGACTATGGAAGTCTATATGAGCGCCAAGACCTTTGGCCTTCTTAAATAATTCGAATTCGCCTGCTTCGAAATTGATGTGATGGTAGCATCCCAGCATGGGATCACCTTCGTCAGGATTTCCTAGCACCTTGCATATCTTGGTGATCTGTTCGATTTCTGAGTAACCATTAAACATGACTTCGTAGTTTATAATCTCGGCCATCACGCATCCTGCACCCCACATATCTACTTTCGGTCCATACATGGACGAACCAAAGAGGATTTCCGGCGCTCTATACCAGAGGGACATGATTCTTTGCGTGTAATTCTTCATAGGGATTGAAAATTTGCGGCACAGACCAAAATCTGCCAACTTGAGATTGCCCTCATTATCGACTAACACATTATCCGGTTTTACATCTCTATGCATTACCCGGTTGGAATGGATGAAGGCCAACGCTTCCATCAACTGCTTGGTGTAGCTCCTCACCAACATCTCGTCTGGTTTGCAGTTTACCCTAGCTAAATACAACTTTAAATCTATTCCAAAATATTCGAACACCATAAAGAATGATTTGTAACCCGCGCAGAGGACATCCTTAAGCTGTATCACGTTGTGATGTCTAAGGCCTTTCAGAGCATTGATCTCTCTCATCGTCGTCACCCTTATACCAGTATTGTTTTCTCCAAAATCTTTGATCTGCTTTATGGCAACGATCTCTCCGGTCACGTCGTTTTGCGCCTTATGCACTACGCCGTAGGCCCCCTCACCAAGGACCTCCAGCTTCTTCATCTTGCTCAACTTCGCCCTCGCAGCAAGAAAAGACTCCATGGTAAACATTGTAAAATCTAGGAGTAGTGACCAACAGTTACAACAAACTAAAGTCGAATGACTAAATTCACTGGTTTTAAATAGATGGTCAGAGGGTGAGTTGACCAACCTAAGGGCATGAATATTATCAAAAAATACTTTTTAAAGTTGGTAACATGCAGAAAATGAATGTTTATGATAGTGATCATGCAAATTCTTCGAAAACATTATGAGCCTGGTTTATGGCGAACGACCGTTGCAATTTTATTTCTCTACCCTTATTTATTGCAATTGAAAATTCAGGTAGAAACAACATCCGTGTAACAATTAAGATTTCTAACATTGCCAAAGAAAAAGCTCACATAATGACTTCGCTAATATATATCACCCTGTATATCACAATTATAATTCCTAATTAATCCATTAGAAAGAAAATAACTTATATTCAATATAAAGTAAATATATAATAATTAAATTGAAACATATTGTGTATTTATTTGAGCGCAAAAATAGCGCATAAAATTGTGTTAATACTTTGAAAGACGAATAAATTATAAGTTAAGTAACGAAACAAAA